ATCCCCCCCTTCGGGTAATATTTAATTATCAAACAACGTGTTTGACTTTAAGGTATTAAAAAAATTCAAAAATAAACAAACGGTTGGCAACAAACAGTAAAGAATAACACGATAAAAATCCTTTTGCGATATGTTAAAAAATTATTATTATTATTATTATTATTATTATTATTATTATTATTATTATTAAACATGTAAACAAATGTGGAAAAAAAAGAAAAAAAGTTTACAAAAAATAAAATTAAAAACACGTACGAGTTTTTTTTTTATTCGAAAAAAAAAAAAAAATGGTTAATAGGTTTGGAATATTTTTTTTTGTTCACGAATCCCAGAACTAGAAAACACAAATCGATCATAACCTAGCTATTAAATGGGCGTACCTTAAAAAAAAGAAAAAAAAAAAAAACGAAATCACGCCTGGAGAAAATTTAAAAATAAAAAAAAAAAATTTTTTTTTTTCGTTTCGAAGCAATCAAATATGGCGGATTAATTACCGGATGAAGGAGATTCAAAAAAAAAAAAAAAAAACGTTTATAATGAAGAACCAATAATAATAAATTCATTCCGGAAATTAAAAAAAATATATTATTATTATCATCATCATTACTACCTTTTTTCTTTTTTCTCCATGAATCCATCCATCGATATTTTGTATAAAAAAATTTTTTTATCACGTAAAAATAATAATAATAATAATAATAATAATCAATCGAAGAAATTAAATTTAAAAAAAAAAAAATTTCTTCCGGATAAACGTATAATAATAATAATAATATTTTTTTTTTCTTCTTCTTCTTCTTCTTCTCCTTTTCCAGTCCATTTATTAAATCTGTCAAAAGTTCATCACGGTTAATTTTGATTGGTCCTGGAAGATGGCCACATCTAAAAAAAAAAAAAAACATAATATTACCTGGAACAAAGAGATTTCATTTAGAATAATTATAAAAAAACACGTTTTGATCATTTTGAAACAATCGTTAAAACGTTCTTTTTAAAACAAAACAAAATGATAATTACTATCATTATTTCGTCGCCGCAGGAAATCTTATGGATAAAAAAAAAAAAAAAAAAAAAAAAAAAAAAAAAATGAATATTTTACACATCAACTTTTTCTAGTAGGTTTTTTTTTTAATGTTACTCTTCCCTCCTCCCTCCCCCCACCCATTCACTCCTCCTCCTCTTCCTCCCCCTCCTCCAAGGGGAACACAATTATTTAAAAAAAAAAAAAAATCGTAATATTAATATCCGTAACAATATCGGTCGGCTTCCATTCGGCAACCGATTTTCCGAAATGGATAATAAAAAAAAATTAACCGAAACGGTTTTCATTTTATCATTAAAAAAAAAAGAATTTTTTTAAATCACCAAAACAAATTTTTTTGTTGTCTGGAATCACCTGGATAAGTTGAAAACCTGATGTTATAGTTTGCCCGACTTATAAGTTAAACATTAATTATAATTTTCGATTCGGCCATTTTGAAAACTCGATCAAAACAAAATTTTTTCTTTCTTATAAAAATTCAAACAGGTGTTAAATTATTAATATATAAAAAAATATCGTGGCATTAGATAATAAAAAAAAAAGTGACACGACTAAATCATTTCATTCATTCATTTATTTTTTTATTTTTTTTTTTCGAACGGAAACATTCGATTTTTTTTTTTTTTTGTTATTTGATTTGATTTTATCGTGGTTTTAATTTAAAAAAAAAAAAAAAATACGAGAAAAATAAGGTCAAAGGTTAATAAATTTGTCTTTTTTTTTACCCCCGTCGGATAAAAATTTTTACGTTACCGGAAGTTTTTTGTTTTTTTTTTTTTTTTTAATTATCGTTCGATTTTGATGATTAAATCAATAAAAATGTTTGTAATTTGTATCATTATCATTATCATTATTATTATTATTAAATTTATTTTGACAAATAAAACAAGGTTTAAATAAAAAAAAAAAGAAAACCGATTTTAAGCTTTTATTCAACGCTTTTTTTTTTAAAAAAAAAAAAGTCGTAAATTTAAAATGTCGCCATTTCGAAAGCGACAAATTTACCATTACTTTTTTTTTTTTTTCTCTAACCGTTTTAAATCTCTTTTAAAATTCAAAAAAAAAAAAAAAAGAAAATGGCGAATCCTTAAGATAAAAAAAAAAAAGGAATAATCCTTAAAATTTCTCTCTCTCTCACACACATTTTCTTTATTTTTCCTTTTAGAAAAAAAAAAAAAAAATTTTTTTAAAGTAAAAATTTCTCTTGCTTATATTCTCCATTTCATTTCGTTTGGGCGTTTTTTTTTTGCAAATGTTTAATAAAGTGGCACGTAAGTTGTTAAAATCCATTTAAAAAATTGTTTGAGCCGTTGTTTGTTATTGTTGTTGTTGTTTTATACCCTTAACAATTTATCTTCGTCGTTTTATCTAAGTTGATTCTTCCCTGAGAGTGAGCTCAGGTGGTGCCCGATAACATCGCGAGGATCGTTCCTTATTCTAAAGATTTATCACCGACAAGGTTTATTTTAACGTTAGTCCTTACCGTCTTTTCTTCACTTTTCCTATGTTTTCTTCTTTCTTCCTAGACGTTTTCTTTAAATCCCCAAACGTAAGTTTGTTGATCCTTTATTATTATTATTATTTGAATTTACCTTTTAAAAGGAAAAACACCATTTGACACTTTTTTTTTTTTTTTTTTTTGATTAATTTTAATATTTACAACGCAAAAAACCTTTTCAAATATTTTACCCCCTTGTTTATTTCTTATTGTTTTTCATAAATTATTACAACACATACACAGATGGGTTTCATTTCCCCCCCTCCCCCCCTCTCTCTTTCTCTCTCTCTCTGGATAATTATAAAAGAAAAAAAAAAAATTCGTAAAGTAGCCAAAAACCATTGCCTGTTAATTACACGTGTATAATAAGAAGGAAACGGACACAAAGACTTTGATAAATGTTATCACCATTAATCTTTTTTTTTTTTTTTTTCTTATTCGAGGGGGGGCATTGATCTCGAACGTAGGTTTAAGGTTTTCATTTCAAAAAAAAAAAAAATTTCATCAACATATCTCAAATACGCCCACCAATGTCATGTGATCGTTTAAAAATGGATAATTATCTTATATTGACCTATAAAAAAAAAAAAAAAAAAGGACGACGTGGATGCGACAAAATAATATTTAATATTTATCCGTTTTTTGTTTTTCTAATTCCACGTAAAAAAAAAAATAATAATAATAAAGTTCTGTTAATTCTGTGTTTTTTTTAAAAGTTGCAAGAAAAATGCAATATTATAATTTAAGTTACTGATTAAAATTTTATTACTTTCTAATGTTCCCCCTCCCCTCCACCCCCACGAAATACTGACGGTGGTAATATAATAATAATGATTTAGTCACGAATAACATTAACAATATTAAAAATAATTTACAAAATGAAAATTTAATGTTGTTTGTAACAAAAAAAAAAAAAAAAGGAAAAAAAGAAAAGAAAAACGTTTTTTTTTTTTTTTTTTCCCTTTCCTTCCCTTTTTTTCTTTGCCCCATTACGTTTTTCTTTTTAATTACTCTAATAATTTAATTAATTAATTTATTTATTTTTTGGGGTAAATAAAAATTTTTCCAGACGAAAAAAATACAAACAATCATTTACATATTATTATTATTATTATGAAAAACCTTTTGAATGTGAAAATCTGCATGTAATTTAAAACCCTTTCCATAAAAAATGTTTTAAGTTCCAGGAGTGTTGTTGTTGTAAGGAGGGGGGGAGGTTAGGGGGGAAGTATCATCATTTTATCATATCACAGTCGGGGGTGGTGGTATTTCGATAAAATCAGGTTTTGATCAGGCATCCAACTGTTATGCCTAAAAATCTAGTCAACGCATAAATATAAAAATATATATAAATATATTTTATATTAAAATTTTTTTTTTTTTTAATTTTTTTCCTTTTTTCCTTTATAAAAAAAAAAAAAAAAAAAAAAAAAAATTAACATAATATAAATATAAATAATGTGTAAATACACATTTTTTTTCCTTTGAATGAAATTACATTTTTTTTTTAAAATGTAAGCAATAAAAATATCAAACCACTACAAACTTTAGTTATAATAATAATAATAATAATAATAATAATAAGTTTCTTTTGGGTAAATGAAAGAGTAATAGTTCAATGAAAAACTTTAAATATTAATCAGATATTATTTAACAAAGAGTATGGTATGATGAAAAATTTATTTATATAATAATAATAAATAAAATAATTTTATATTATAAAAATATTTTAACTAGTTGTATGATTAATAGTGTAACGTTTTATCACTTTTTATTACTATAAATCTATTAATCATTATATACAAATTGATACATCATATAACCAAACCCTAATATATGGAGGGTTGTTGTTGTTAGACAGTTAATCAATTCAATGTTGAAGTATTGATATTTTATTTATTATTATCTTAATAGAGTATCTTTTATTTAAAAAAAATGTTTTATTATACGCACATAAAAAAAAAAAAGCGTGAAATAAATTATTAATTATAATATTACATGTTTGTGTGAGCAAATAATTTTTCTAAATAAAAATAAATAAATAAGGAAAAAAATTTATGGTTTCGCATGAGTAATTTTAAAAAAAAGAATTTGTTTTATGTAATTTATAATTTACTTACTTATAAATGTGCAGAATTTATAAATTTTTGTTAAATATAAAATAAGTTTTGAACACACACACACACACAAAAAACAAATGAATAATCCATTGTGAAATTTTTGGCGCGAAAAACTAAAGTTTGACGTATTGAGTCATAGAACTTTTTTTTGCAAGGTTGCCACCTGAAAATTTTTAAAATTTTAACGGTTTGATTTTTTTAAATTTAAGAATGAAAATTAATTATTTAGTGTTAATTAATTTACATTGAGGGAGTTTTTTTCTTTTTAATTTTGAATATAATTTATTTTAAAGAAGATTTGATAATTGTAAATAACTAGATATTATTGACGTATTTACAAATGTCGATTCAAAAATTGCCTCCAGAAGCCATTGTTAAATTTCAAAGCGGGAACGTCATAACAGATTTGGTTCAGAGTGTTCTAGAACTTGTAAAAAAATCAAATTTTTTTTTTTTGTAACTTATAATCATTAGTTAAATCTTTTAGTTAGTTTCTTTTTTGCTTTCTTCAGGTTTATAATGCTCTTGATGCTGAATCATCAACTATCCTTATAAGGGTAGATTTAAAAAAATTTTTAATTCAAGTTATAGATAATGGAAATGGAATTGGAATAAGTGATTTAGAAAAAGTAGGAGAAAGGTAAAAGTTTAAATTAAAAATTTTTTTAAAAAAATAATTTAAAATTATTATAAATATAATTATCATTGTGATATTTTTCTTTCAGGTACATGACTAGTAAATATAATTCTCATTTTTGTTCCATCAATACCTACGGCTACAAAGGCCAAGCTTTAAGTAGTTTGGTAGAAGTTTGTAAGACATTAAGAATTGAAACAAGAACCAAGGGAGATAATGTTACTGCAATAAAAGTAAAATGCACTACATAAGTTTTATGATTTTTTTTAAAGATTATTTCTATGATTTAATCTTAATGTGCGGTTTATGCATACAGACATTTGAAAATGGTCGAATGCTGAACATTCTTCACACATCAACTAAAAAAGATGTCGGTACTTTTGTCAGTGTTGAAGATTTTATGTTTTCAATGCCAGTTAGAAAAAAGAGAATAAATGAAGTTTTTGATTTGGAAGAACTAAAAACACAATTGAAATATTTGAGCCTGATTCATCATAAGGTGAATATTCATTCAAAGTTCGATATCAAAATTTTTAATCTTTAAAAAAAAAAATATTTTTAAAACAAATTCAGGTACTTTTCTTTTTACAATTGGTTGCTTAATATCAAAATATGTTTATCACATGTTTAGGTTTCATTCACTTTAAAAAACGAGCATAAAAATTTAATTTTGTTTCAAACTCAGCCTACAAATAGCATTTTGGAATCGACAAAAAAAATTTTTGGTGTAACTATGACAAAATATTTAAAAAAAACTACATTCAGTGACAATGTTTTTCTTATAAAGGGTCTCATTAGTAAGAAGCCTAGATTGTCGAGTTCATTGCAACTGATATATGTTAATAATAGAGTTATAGCGAAAGGATCAATTCACAAAGTTGTGAACGATATGATAAGTAATCATATTAAAGAAATGAGTATTAAATCGGCTTCTTCATTAGAAGAAAAAATAGTTTTAAAAAGTTTAATTAATCCCACTCACAATGTGTATGTTATAAAAATATATTGTTCTCTCTCAGAATATGAATTATTTACCACTAATCTGAGAAAAAATAAAGTAAAATTTAAAAATTGGGATGTATTAAAGAATTGCTTTCGAAAAGCAATCAAAAAAGTATTTCACAATGCTAGCAAAACCATACAATCTAAATTGGTTTCGAATAAAATTAAATCTGACAATGTGACAAAACATGGATGGAAAAACAACACTAATTGTTTGATAAATGCAATTAAAGGAAAACTTGTAAAAAGAAAACATGAAGAAAGTAAAAAGAAAAGTATTTGTAAAGAATATGTGTCAAGTTCAAAATTAATTAAATCACATAATGATGAAACAAAATCTAATAGAAAATTAGCCATTAGTTATGGTTTATCACAAAATTGTGATTCCATCGAATCTCCAATACCAAAAAAAAAATTAAAACTTAATTTAGAAACTGTAAAAAGTGGAAGCAATCTAAACAATTTTAAAATTGATGTTGAAGAAGTGTTAAAATCAATGATGCAAAATATCACAGTATTTGAATTTTATAATTGGATTAAAGAAAAAATGAATGGAAATTCAGGTATTGCTAATTTTTATGACAATTTAGTGCAATATCACTCGGGGGAAAAAAATTTTTCTGTACGTCAGTGTCGTATCATAAGAAATGAAATATCAGAAGATGAAAATAAATTTTTCACACGAAAAATGGGAATTGATAAAAACGTTATCGAAAATTTGAATGATGAGATATTTAGGAAAAACATCATTTTCGAAGATAAAAAAAAAACCATTGAAAATTCATTTAGATTTTTGGAAAATTCGAAAAAAAGCAATTCAAAAATAACTTATTTTTATAATAATAATAATACTAATAAGGAAATAAAAATGAAAAATTTTAAAGAATCAACTGAAATAAATATTGGAAAAGCTAAATATCAGAATGAAGCATTAGAAAAATATTTTGATTTTAATGCATCTCCCCGATCCGAAATGGTACTGTCAAATTTTGTAAATTTTAGAAATTTAAAAAATAGTTTCGAGAAAAAAAATTCTGGTATTAAATTATCGGGGTCTTGGACATCTCATTATCGGAATTCGATAAATTATTCATTTGGTGCTAAAAGTATGAGTCCTCAAAAAAAAATAATTACCTGGATGGAAAAATGTATGAGTAATAATTTAGAAAATTATTCGAATCTAGACGATAAAAATTTGAGTATTAATTTATGTTTCGAGGACACCAAAAATAAATTTTCAAAACCATTGTTGGATTCGAGTTCGAAGAAAAAAGATGTCATGGTTCAAACGGAAACAACTTTTGTTCACAATCTTGCTTATTTAAACGAACAAAGTATAGAAAATTTTAAAACAAACTTTTTAAGGGATCATAATAATTCCATCGCTAAAAATGTTTCGAATGACTGTGGCAATGTTGAACCAATCCGAAGTCAAGAAATAATAGGTTCAAATACTCCTGAAATGAAAGCTGAAGAAGTAAAAATGGCTAATCCGCCATCAGATTTTTCATTATTTTCAAAACAACCAAGTGAAAATGATGGAGCTTCTTCAATGAGTGAAATAATAAACTGTGGACAAAAATTAGAAGAAACTTATCCGAAAGAAGAATTAGGAGACAATTCAATAAAAGGAAAAGATTTGCCATTAACGTCAGAAGATGGGAAAACACCAAAATCCGTTGAAAATGTTGTCGCAACGATGGGAAACGAACAAGTTTTTCACATGACCGAAAGACCGGATATCATACCGAAAGGTCTCACACCGAAATTTTCAATTATAGAAAATAGTCGGATAATGTCTCTTACTCCCCGAAAAAAACGGAAAATATCATTGGCACTCGATAATACGGAAAATAAAATATTAGATTCTGTCAAATGGCAGGATGAATTGACCGGTAATGAGAGTTAAACGCGATTCATCATAAAGTTTTTTTTTTTTTTTTTTTAAAATTTTACTCGAGTACTCGCTACTAATTGTTGCTAATTGCTTTTATAATTGTTTTTAAAAGGCGGTTCTACGAAACCAGCAATTCCAGATGGAATATTCGATGAAATGCGGCAAAAGGCGGAAAAAAATATGATTTATTGCGAGAAGGAAATACTCTCGGCATCGGTTTCTTACAGCGCCATTAAAGTACACAATTTACTTCACTCTTTTGCTTTTACCAAAGAATTACTATCAGAAGTCGAGGTAATCTTCATTACTGGAAAATTATAATTTTATTTTTCAATTAACGACTAGTTTAGTATTATTATTATTATTATTATTCTGTTAATGTTCATGAGAGCGAACGTTTGATAATTTTTTATTTAACGCGTTCGGTCGGGGGAAGAGTGAATTATAAAAAAAAAAAAAAAATGTTTGTTTCTTTATATAAAGTTTTTTTTTTTTTTTAATTCTTCAGATAATAGGACAACTGGATAAAAAATTTATCGTTGCAAAAATGATTGTGGAAGGGCCTAAAAGAAAAGAATTGATAACACTTTTTGATCAGCATGCCGTGGATGAACGGATACGATTGGAGAAATTAATGAATGGTAAATATCACGCACAAAAAAAATTTTTTTTTTTTTTATCATCAAACGAAGAATTTATTATTGCCGAAGTGAGATTTACGTAAAAAAAGATATTTTTCTCACCTTTTTTGGTGGTGATTTTTCATAAAAAAGCAACAAGTTAATAATTCAAAACGGCATTCTTTTTTTTTTTTTTGACAACGTGACAATTTTAAAATTTTTATTCATAAATTTTAATTTTATTTTTAAAATTAACATAAATTAGTAAACGAAATCGTAAAGGTATATCTACTATATATGGTATGCGTAATATTAAAGAAAATTCCACAGATTATATTTTAGATAATGATGTATTTTTATCGACGCCATTAACGCCTGCAATCGAATGTTCTTTAAATGAATCCATGGTGGAAATCGTAACGAGTTTTCACGAGCAATTTGAAAAAATAGGACTCGACTGTCAACCGTTAACCGATAAAACGATACTAGTCAAATCGATACCGAAATTTTTGACGGATAAATGCACAAAAGCTGTGAGGAAAAAATTTTTGTTTTGACATCGCACGATTGCGATTCGCCATTAAAAATTTTCATTTTGATTTCTCGTAGAAAAAATCGTGCCAGGATAGTTTTATAAAAAGTTTAATTGAAACTTTAATCAGGAGCGCATTAGAAGAATTGACGGCAACCAGAGGAACAATTTTAAAAGTTCCTAAAATCTTACACAAATATTTTTGTTCGGAAGCTTGCCACAGTAATAATAAAAATAATAATAATAATAATAATGATATTTGGACTATCTCTTATAAGGTTTTATTTTTTTTTAATAATTTTAAATTAGATGCGATAAAATTTAATAAAAAATTATCCCTCGGGGAAATGAGTCAAATGATAAAGGAATTGAAAAATTGTAAATTGCCTTTTCAATGTGCTCACGGACGTCCATCTTTGATACCCATCGTCGATGTCGAAGAATTTAAAAATTTGGTAATATTAATAATTTATTTTATTTTATGAGGGCGAGGGGAAAAAAAAAAAAAAACTATTTTTTAACGTTTCAGACAGAAGAAATGGCAAATGTTAAAAAAATATCAGGTCTCAAAAAATTTTATCAATCGACAACAACATAACGGAAAAATTTCAAACGAATGAAAATTAAGAAAAAAATAATAATAATAATAATAATTTTTTAAAATTTTATTGATTTTTTTTTGTTATTGTTACAAAAATTTGATTAATTTACTTATGTAGGATACTCGCGGGTTATTTATTACCCTATTAATGCAGTTTTAATTTTTTCTTTTTTTTTTGTAATGGTTCAGGTTTATAATTTCTTCATAAAAAAGAAAAAAATTCATCTCGAAAAAATCTTACAGTAACATCATCTAAATTTTTTTTTTTTTTTTTTTTTTTAAAAAAAAAAAGTTTAGATAGAGATCTCTAAGACATGGTAATATGTTTGTTTTAGTTATTAACTACTCGACTTTTTTTTTCAAGACTTGTAGAATAGTAAGAAAATTTGAAAAGGCCACATTTTATTTTTTTTTTATAAAAAAAAAAAAAAAAGAAGCATTTATTTTTTTTTTCTTGTTATATATATTATTAGAATTTAGTAAAATAGAAAAGTTAATGTTTCTTTTTACAAGTTTTTTCTCTTAATATCTATACTTGTTTACAAATTTAAAATATTTTTTTTTTTTATTATACATAACAATTTTTCATGTACTTTAATCATAATAATCATAATATTATATTAATAACGAATTTATTTATTTTTGTTAAAAAAAATTTTTAATAATTAGAGTTATTATTAATTTATACTAAATAATTTTAATTTTACAAACTAAATTAACAATTATTGCTTTCATATAAAAGAAAAAGGAAAATTGTTTTTTTTTATACTGTGAAAACGTTTGGGTACTTGAAGAGTTCAAAGGTCAACTCATCATGAAACAATTTATTTAATTTTTAATGTTTTTAGTAAAGTTACCTGTTTTTTTTTTTCAAAGATTTTACGTTACGTATATTGTTTTGTAAATTTAAATTCAATAACAATATTGAAAATAATTATTATTATTATTTTCAACCGTTTATTTAACACGCACACACAACAATTTTATTATTTATGTTTAAATTGTAAATGTAGGATTGGTATTTGTTGAGCTTTTTTTTTTTTTTATACAATTTGTTTCACTCTATTTTGTTTGTTTTGCAGTAATAATTCAATTTATTTATTTCTGCCATTAATTACGTGTTCGTTTAAATTATTGTTTAACAAAAAAAAAAAAAAAAAAAAAAACAGTTTCAGTTACTGCTACTCGTTTGTTTAATCATGTCATCCAAATGTGGACCGTGGGAGGGAAGTTGTCCTGCTTTCGTGCAAGATCTACAGCAGAAACGTGCGTAATATTTATGCTGACAGTGTCTGGCTTTGACGATAAGTTCACAATTTGCAAAAAATATATTATCCGTGCAATTGGGATGTATGTAAACTCCTGGAAAAGAAGAAAAAATTGTTAACAAATTTAAATGTGAGTCTTCAAAACAAATTTTTTTACTTTTAAGTTTATTTTTACCTTCTACGGTTATTTGTATTGAATTACTGACTTCTTCGTATTGATTTTGTGCCACGCATCTATAAGTTCCACTGTCGCTTCCATCTGCTCGAATTATTCTTAATCTATTGCTTTCTGTAATTGTTAAAAAAAAAAATTTTTTTTTGTTACAGATTGTCTTTTTTTAAAAAAGACTCAATTATGTATTCGATTACCTGTGATTTCAATTTTTCTAGATGGATGTATCACTTCGTTGTCCTTGTACCACGTTACTCTGGGTACGGGATAACCGTCTGTGGAGCAAGGTATCGATATATCGCTTCCGATTGGGAAATTAGTTTGGTCCAATGAAATGTTCACCGCCAAAGGTACTGCGAAATTTTTATAAAATTTTTTGTTAAAATATTTTTACAACTTTTGTACTTTCCTTTAAATAGTTAGAACGTTCCAGTTATTAATTTAATTAATTTTAATTATTTTTAGATTGGAATACTGACCTACAAATACTCTTGGTGTTTGTTGAGTAGTTGGTTCAGTTTGAGGATGCGGAGGTTGAGTTGTAAAATGTCTGGGAGGAGGAGGAGGAGGAGTTTGCGGAGGATGAGTCGTTTCTACGGTATGAGTGTAGGTAACTGGAGGTCTATACGTTAGCCAAGGACGATAGGGTGCTTCGGTTTTTTGTGTTACATTCACCAAATATTGAAAGTACGGTGCATCTTCAGGATTCGTTGAATAAACGGGACCGGTTGCTTGAACTGTAACCGTTCCGGAAGCGGCTTTCCCGAGGCCGTTATAAGCTTGGCAAACATAAGGACCTAAATTTCTCAGGGAAATGGATTTAACTAGGAGAGAGAAATCTCGTCTTTGCTCGTATTGACCCGAGGAAAGTGGCAACATTCTGTCACCTCGCCACCATGTAACCCCAGGTCGTGGCCAACCCATTGCGTAGCACTGAAGAATTACGGGAGTTCCAAGTGTAACAACTACATAGGTATTTTCATCGCCAATAACTTCTGCGGGCCTTGGCGTGGGATCTATAAAGTGTTTGTTGGTTAGTTAGTTAGTGAAAGCTTTACATGCAAATTATGATTAAAAATTAGTCTGCCATTATTTAGTAATATTAATTTCAAATAACACCAATTAGTTTTGTCAAAATTTGATTTTAAAAAAAAAATAATTAATTGTTATCTTTTTTTTTTTTTAGTTAATATTTCACCAGTTTAAGTTCCAAATGGTCATTCAAAGTGATTGAAATACCTGTAACTTCAAGAGTGAATTCTTTTTCTACTGAAGGCCCTACGCCATTGTTTGCTGCACAGTAGTAAACGCCTGCGTCACTACCATGTAAGCCAATTATTTGTAATGAACCATCGGTTAAAAATTTATGCCTTCCTCCAGAACCATCAATCAAAACATTATCTTTTCTCCAGGACACTACCGGCGTGGGTATTCCACGAACGGAACATTTTAAGGTCGCATAACTGCCTTCCGGCGCACTCACATGTAAATTATCAGCAATAATTGTCGGAGGTTGTGCTGTAAGTTTTACGACAAATTACAAAATTTAATTTTTTGCTTTAAATTAAAAAAAAAAAAAAGAAAAATTTTACCTCCATAAAATGGTCTTTGATACACCGGAGGACTTGTAGTAGCCGGAACAGCAGGCGGTTCTTCAACACGTACGGGATCGACGCAAGAAGTCATGGGTCCTATTGCACAATTAGCTGTACAACATTTTTGAGGTCCGGGACAATCTGCATCCGTTTGACATTCAGCCGTGCAAGATCCTCCACCGTTGACTAGAACTGGACATTGACCCGGCTTGTTTTCTAAAAATGAAGAAGTAAAAACATTAAGGTTTGTCATTACGATTATTATAAAAAATATGATTTTTCTGATGAAAAATACCTTCTCTACATAAACCTCTCGCCGATACTCTTCCAGTTTCATCTTGATATAATTCAATTGCGCATCTGGTTCCGTCGGGACAATATTGTTCTCTACATGGATTATTACAACGACATCGCTCACAATCTTGTGAATCCACAAATTTTTCTATACCGTATGGACAGTGCATTTGATTACATTTTCTTTGTTCTTCTCTGCAATACTCGGGTACTTGAACAATTATTTCATTTGCTAAAAATAATAATATTTATTTAATTAAAAATTGATTTCAAAATGACAATGGAATTAATTTAAAAGCGTGTGAGAAATTAATTTTATAAAAAAAATGTTATAGTGATATTCTTACGATCTTCGTGTTCTGGTGGCGGGGCAACATCCCTCAATTGGGATACGCAAAACTTAATACAAGTGTCAAAATTTTTAAAACGGTTAAAATTCCCTCCGCATCCGCTATATAAAAATGGTATGCAAGTTCTTTTTGTTTCTTCGTAATACCATCGTTTATAATCTAAATTATGACAAGATCCAGAATCCACGTGCAAACGACATATAGCTACATAGGCCGAAAAATATTAGTAAATTTTATAAAGTTAGTGCCGTAAACCGTTTTTGTAAGTTAATTGATTAGTTGTTCCCTGAGTTAAACCACCCCAACATGCTAATATTAAAATTATTATTATTATTATTATTGTACCTTGATTAGGTAAGCTAGTGTCATTCGACAACGGTAATGATTCTTCTCTGTGGACGCATAAAGTTTCACATTCCTGAAGAGAACTAAATCGATTATTGTTTCCGCCGCATCCGCTGTATGTAAATTCACGGCAGATTTTATTTGATGCATCGTAAAACCATTTTTGGAATTGACCATTGCACGGACCGGTATCGTAGGAAAGGTAACAAACATCTGTGAAATTTTATTACATTTAATAATAATAATAATTTTTTTTTTTCTTAATGGGAAAATTTTTATTTTTAAAAGGTGTACCTTGGTTTTTAAATTGTCCACATTGTCTTTCGCATTGTTCTTCCGATTCAAATCTGTTTGCGTTACCCATACAACCTCCATAAATAAATGCCTGACATCTTTCGCTATAAGGATCGTAATACCATAATGATTGTTCTCCCAAACAAGGACCAGGATCTACTCTAAGGTAACAAATATCCGTAGGATCGTGAGGTCTAGGAGGTGGTTGCGTGGGAATTAGAGCCGTTGTCGGAGGAGTCGGCGGTTCTATTGCTCCTTGCCTGCATCTAATTTCACAATCGTATCTTGGGGGGAAAAAGAAAAAAAAAAACGATTAAAACACATCGCCAAGTTTCAAATTCATAATTTATAATCTAAAATAATTTCCAACTTTGTATTAAATCTATTTCCGTTTCCTTGACAGCCACCATAATCAAATTCATAACAACTATCTGTTTGTCTTTCATAGTACCACTGGGGGTAGTTACCGCTACAGGGTCCTACCGTTTTAGGCAGAGTACATATATCTGAAAAAAAAATATTTTTTTTTTTAAATTTCAAAATTTTTAAAACGAATTGTGAAAAGAATGTGTTTAAAAATACCTTGAGCATTTCCGCAATTATGTTCGCATTCTTCTCTCGTGTTAAAACGATTACCATTTCCGTCGCAACCTCCATACAAAAACTGTTTACAAACACCATCAGCCCTGTCGTAAAACCACATGGGTAAAAATTCAGATGGCCTACACGATCCTGGATCACTACCGTAAAAGCAATATTCTGACGAAAAAAAAAAAAAAAAAAAAAAAAAAAATTTTCTTATATAAACATTATTATTATTATTTCAAAATAAATAACTAATAAAATTATACCGATTTTAAAGGGTTCAGGTTCGGGTGTTGCCGGTCTTCGAGTGGCAATGTCTACACGTTCTTCCGGTATATACGATTCGCAACGTTTTTGACAATCGATTTGCCGTTCGAAATTATTTTGATTTCCGCCACATCCGCCGTAATAAAATGGACTGCAACGTCCCGCTTGTGCATCGTAGTACCAACGTTCCGTGTAATTGTAACATTCTCCAATCAATGCGGGTAAGTGACATAAATCTTTGTCTGTAAAATCAATTTGAAATTATCTCTCACCGCCGCGACAAACAAACCAACCCTCACGTTTTTATATACATAAAATTATTATTATTATTTTGTGCATTTAATGAGTCGGTATATGTACATTGAAAGTGCTTTTATAATTAAAAAACTTACAAACTCTCGGAGGACAATCAGTTTCGCATTCCTCCCGAGTTTCATATCGATTAGCATTACCCTCACACCCAGTGTAATAAAATGGCATGCAGCGATTTTCAGAATTATCGAAGTACCATCTTGGTATTTTTTCTCCACAATTTCCGGGTTCTCTCGGTAAAGAACAATGATCTAAGAAACATGCAATACCAAATAGTTTTAAGAAAGTGTTAGTAAAAAAAAAAAAAAAAAAAAAAAACTACTTAAAAACTAACTACTACTAATTACAAAATAATTAATTAATCCAAATTTTAACCCATTTGTTAATTAATAAGGTTCTCATTTTTTTCCTCCCATTGTAAATTTAAAGTGAGTAAGTTTAATTATACCCCAATAAAAGGAAAGGATTTTTGTTAATCTACCCAAAAAAAAAAAAAAAAATTAAACTATAAAGTTGTTAGATAGTGTGAGTGTCCTGTACCACAATCATCTTCTAATAAGGTATCGTCTGCTTAAAAGCCAAATTAAAATAGCTCTACGGATGCTGTTATTTATGTTTTCTCTCTCTAACAAAATACCTTTATCGTAATCTAAAATAGGACACTTTTTCTTGCATTCATCTTGAGTTTTGAATCGGTTGTTGTTCCCTAAACAACCACCATAAAAAAATTGACGACAATCTTTAACTTTGTCATCATAATACCATCGTAAAACCGACCCTCGGCAAGGTCCTGGATCTTTCTGGAGTAGGCATAACTCCGCTAATACTGTAATTTTATTCATTTATATTTTTTTATGGGATGACAAAATGAAACCGTGTGTCGAAAAACCCACCGATTGTGATTTTTTTTTGTGAAACATTACAAACTCTTTTAATAAATTCTCACCTCTGCTTCTGCCAGGTTGAAGACATTGTTCTTTACACGCGGATTCTGTGAGAAAATTGTTTCCGTTGGCTTTGCATCCTCCGTAACGGAACCGCAAACATGATTTTCTTTCTTTGTCGTAATACCATCGAGCAAAACTTCCCTCGCATGGTCCCTCTTCGACGGGTTGCGAACACGGATCTGCGGTTAAAATTTTGTTACATTTGAATGTTTTGAAACTTTAAATTTTTTTTTTTTTTTTTTTGTATCTTCCTAGGATTGAATTTACGAACCGGCTGCTTCTTCTGGAGAGCAAATTTCTTGACATTCTTCTCTTGTATCAAAATTATTATTGTTACCCAAACAACCACCGTAAATGAATTGACCGCATTGTTTTCTTTCATTGTCGTAGTACCATTTTGGAAAATATTTTTCACAAGGTCCGGATACTTTTGGAAGAGCACATCTTTCTGAAATTTATTTTTATTTTTTAAGCAAATGTTGAAGTACTTCAAAGTTGGTACGAATGATTTTTTTTTCAAATCTCACCTTTGCCTTCTGGAGCCACGCAAATCGCATTACATTCTTCTTGCGTTTTAAATTTATTGTCGTTTCCTTCGCATCCACCATACCAAAATCTTGTACATCCACCGTATTGCATATCGTAGAACCATTTAACGGTAAAATCTCGGCATGAACCTCGATCTTTAGGTAGTTTGCACACCTCTGTGAACGAAAAATTAAATTTTTAGTAATTGTATAAAATTTACTTTATAATCCATCATTTTCACATTCTCACCTCCGGGTGCTTGAAGCTGCTTTTTACACCCGTCAAAATCTTCTCCTAAAGCTTCTTCAACCCCATCCGGACAGCAACCAAATTGAGATGCCTCGCAACCACATCCACCTTTTTCAGGTCCGGTTGCTGGTGTTTTACCATCTGAACAACATCCAAATTCTGTATTTTCGCATCCGCAACCTAAAAATTATAAAATTGTCTCACTCAACTTTCCTTTTTGAGAAAATTTAATATTTATTGAGATTTATACTAACCTAATCTTTGTGGTCCTTTAGCTACGGTTACACCGTCAGGACAGCAACCGAATTGGAATGTATAGCACGGACAACCTTGATAGCCCGGTCCGGGAGCAGGTGTATAATTATCCGGACAGCAGCCGTAGGAAGTGTATTGACATCCGCACCCTTCATTATTGTATCCTCTAGATGCAGTTTCGTTATCCGGGCAACATCCATATGGTGAGTATTGACAGCCGCAGCCTAAATTTTTTATTTACTTTAGTAATTGTTGAAACAATAATAAACAAATGAAAAAAAAATGAATACCATCGAAATTAGGTCCTCTTGCGTAAAGAATATTGTCTGGACAGCAACCAAAAGGTGAATTAAGGCAACAACCCTCTCTGTTGGGTCCATGAGCTGGTGTGATATTATCGTCGCAGCATCCGTAAGGTTCCGATGAACAAGAAGTATTACATCCTTCATATCGGCTTCCCAAAGCTAAAAATTAATTTTTTTCATAAAACGTAAAAAACTTTTATGAAAAAATTTTTACAATTCACCACGGAAAGGTAAAATTACCAGGAGTAATGCCATCCGGACAGCAACCAAAGTATGATAGAGTGCAATTTTCCGAATCGATCACACCGCAGTTTTCAAAGTTCGGACCTTCTGCTGATATGATACCATCTGGACAACATCCGTAAGTGCTGTTAGCGCAGTCCATAACTTCTCCTGAACCTGATTCGATTAGTACAATGGTGAGTTTTGAATTTATTTAAATCATAACAAATAGGTTTGGAATTTTGTGAAAACAAAGTTTTTACCTTCTTCGCAGCCTTGGAAGTTGGGTCCCGTTGCCGCACGAAGATTATCCGGACAACAACCGAATGCGGTGTCATTACACGAATCGCATTCTCCAGATCCTTCGCAAGCAAAACACCCTTTGAAATTAGGACCCATTGCGTTTGTCATGTTATCGGGACAACAACCAAATCTACGTAAGTAAATTATTATGAAATTAATTATTTTTACTTTTCTCGACTATTTCTCGTTGAGGCTTAAAAAAAAAAAAAAAAATTAATTTACTGAGACATGCTGCATTCTGCTGGTAAAATTTCTTCTGGACACCCTTCGAAATCGTTTCCTTGCGCTACGTTAACTTTATCAGGGCAGCAACCGAAAAGTGTGGCATTACAATCAAACGGTGGACAACCTTTTTCGTTCTTTCCTTTAGCTGGTGAAACACCATCGAGACAACAACCAAATTCAGATTCTTGACAAGTCTGAGGTTGCGGGCAACCTGAAAAATAACAAAATAATAGTAATGATAGTAATTTTTAAAATTCTTCCCGTCGCTATACATTTTTTTTTTTTTACCTTTGCTAAATGGACCCATCGCAGGAGTTTTATTGTCGGGACAACATCCAAATTCAGATTTTCTACATTTTGGCTTTTTCTTCGGTTTGCATTTTTTCAGTTTCTGTTCTTTAGTGATTGCCATTCTGATTGACGAAAGTGATGATCCCCATAATTCATCGACTATAAAATTAGGTTAAGAGTTAATTTTTGTTTATTAAACTTTTAATTCCATGCAATGTACAAAAACCTAATAAATTACCCAACACCCTATTTAAGTAATTTATTACCTTTTTTATTACCCCGGGGTTTTTTTTTTTTTAATTTGAAATGGATTAAAAAAAATAATAAAAACTCACGACTTGTAGTAGCCCATTCGCTCATTGATCCGGTACTTTCTGTTAATTCTGTATCTGATGTATCAGAGGAATATCCGGTAGTTTCTGTAAATTCCGTGCTATCCGACATCATTGAAGAACTACTTCCTGTAAATTCCGAACTTGAATCGGTACTCATTTCCGAGGATAAATCAGTCGAGCTAAACAATGTGCTTTCTGTAGATCCGGATACAGTGCTCTCGGTCGAACCCGATTCTGTTACATCCGTACTTTCTGTTAAATCTGATGCTGTAGAATAAGAACTTTGCGATGAAGCGGTACTTTCAGATGAACTAGATTCGCTGAAATCTGTGCTGTAAGTTGAACTAGTAGAAATGCTACTATCCGTAAACTCTGTTGAGCTTTGAACAGTGGTATCTGAGGTGCCACTGCTTTCAGTACTTCCACTAGAGGTGCTCTCTGTAGATTCTGTGGACTCGGTACTTTCTGTTAATTCCGATTCCGTTGTATCCGTACTGCCGGTAGATTCAGTGCTTTCGCTTGATCCTGTTAAAGTTGTGTCTGAACTTTCAGTAAATTCTGTACTTGTAGAATCATCATCTATGTCTACTTCACCAATGCCTCTAAGAGTCGAACCACTCGAACTGTCAGAAACTGTTGTTGAATAATCAGATGATTCGGTTTCATCGCTTGTAAATAATGATTCGGTGGTTGCCGTGCTTTCTGTTGATTCTGTATTGTCGGTTGACATTGAAGAAGACGATTCCGTAGATTCTGTGCTTTCCGTGCTTACGGAGGATGATGATTCTGTAGATTCTGTGCTTTCCGTGCTAACGGAGGATGATGATTCTGTAGATTCTGTGCTTTCCGTGCTAACGGAGGATGATGATTCTGTAGATTCTGTGCTTTCCGTGCTAACGGAAGATGATGATTCTGTCGATTCTGTACTTTCCGTTGAAACTGATGAAGAAGATTCAGTGGATTCAGTTGATTCTGTACTTTCTGTACTAACAGAAGATGATGATTCCGTTGATTCTGTGCTTTCCGTGCTTACGGAAGATGATGATTCTGTAGATTCCGTACTTTCTGTTGATACTGATGAAGAAGATTCAGTAGATTCTGTAGATTCTGTGGATTCTGTACTTTCTGTGCTTACGGAAGAGGATGACTCCGTTGATTCTGTGCTTTCCGTGCTAACAGAAGACGATGATTCTGTTGATTCTGTGCTCTCCGTGCTAACAGAGGATGATGATTCTGTAGATTCTGTACTTTCTGTTGAAACTGATGAAGACGATTCAGTAGATTCTGTGCTTTCTGTTGATACTGATGAAGAGGATTCTGTAGAATCTGTAGATTCCGTAAATAGCGATGATCCCAAAAGATCAGAGAACAAGGTGGATAACCATGTACTCTCAGTTGCTTCTGATGAAGAACTTGATTCCGTATATTCACTACTCTCTGTACTATCCGTAGTGCCATCGGAAGTAGACTCAGATGAGGACATGTCAGTGCTTAAACTACTAGAAGTTTCCAGCGTACTTGATTCCTCTGTAGATTCGGTGCTACTTTCGCTAGTACTACTAATACCATCACCCTCAGTGCTTAAACTAGTGCTACCATCACCAACGCTACTACTAATACTACTCATATCAGTACTTAAACTGCTCATACCATCACTCGTACTGCTAATGCTACTCATGCTTGACAGAGATGAATCTGTACCGGAACTACTACTCAAAGATGATGCGGAACTTGATTCTGACGATAAACTCGATTCGGTGGAAACATCCGAAGTGCTGTAGCTCGAAGTAAAAGGGTCTGAGGAACTTGGAAAGTCAGAAGTCAATAAAGATGAAGTGAAATCTGATTCGGATGTAAAATCAGAGCTGATAGACGATAAAGAAAATAAATCTGTGCTTTGATCAGACAGAGTCGAAGGCAAACTAAAGGTTGATCCATTTGTACTCTGAAAAAAAAAAAAAAAAAAATTTAAATAATATTTTTCAAAAAGGATTTTAAAAATCGCATAACTCAAAAATAATATAATACTTCTGAGGTTGAATCCATAGATGGAGTTATGCCATCTTCATCTTCATAATCACTATCGTAATCATCTTCATCGTATTCGCAATCTTGTTCATCGTCTTCGCTTAAATCATGAGTTGGTTCCACCGTGTATATTTCATCTTCTCCGCAAGGATGATTGTTACAACTTTCACTCGAAAAAGGAATCGAATTTCCATCGCAGTTGACTATCGAAACAGTGTTGTTATCTTGCAAACACAAAACCTTTCTTGATTTTTGACCTCCTCCGCAATCTTTCGAACACTGATTGCAAGAAAAAAATTTTTCAATAACCGAACTCATTAATTTATTACCATTTACTTGTGAGTATTACTTACAGCACTCCAAGGACCTGCAAACCAATCTCCTTTGCATACCTCCTCACCGACGCAATCTTTTTCCGATTCGTATTTTTCCTCTGGATTGCACTTATCATCTTCGACCTTTTTAATTAGACCTTCGTCGTTGATTTCCCCGCAAAAAACTTTTCTCGTTTGAACTCCAGCTCCGCATTTCGAAGAACATTCGCTCCACTGAGCAGCGTACCATTCATGTTCGCATTTTTTAAACGTTTCGCATTTTCTTACCAGTTCGGGTTTTCTATATTTGTGACAGAAAGAATCGGCATAAACTACGCCGGTTTGTGTGACGCAACGAGCGGTTCTTGTTTCTTGTGTGAGACCACATTTTTCGTGACACTAAATTATTATTTTAAAAAAATCAATCATTATTATTATTATTGTTAGAAAGGGAAAGCTTTTTAAATTACAAACACTCACTCCCGACCATTCCGACGTTATCCAATCAACTCCTTCGCACGGCCTCAACATGCACGGTTTTTCCGAATCTGGTTTTTCTTCCGTACAAGCAGAATCTTCCAATACTTCAATTTTACCATCAACTCTTCTATAACATATAACATCTCGGGTTTCTTTACCATCGCCACAAAGTTTATTACACTAAACAGAAAAAAAAAAAAAAAATTATAAATTCATAATTAAATTTTTGTGAAATAATTTTCCGCGAAAATTTTATAATTTATTTACACTTTTCCAGGGTCCTACGTGCCAAGTTGGACACATGGTATCGACGTTACACTCTTGTTTGTTCGGAGGTTTTTCACCGGTTTTTTCACATTCCGCTTCATCGGCTACCGACGGTAATCCATTTGCAATTATTTGCATGCAGTAAACCTGAAAAAAAAAAAATTAATTAACGGTAAAAGAATTGAATGAAAAAGGAAGGAAAAATTTAGGTCGAGAGTAAAAAGATTAAAAAATTACCTGACGTTCTTGAATTCCTTTCTCGCAGGATTCGCTGCATTGAGACCATGGACCCGCATTCCACGATGGCGGACAGGGTTCTGGAGAACAGGATTGAATGGATGATGGCATGTAATTGGCATTGCACAAATTTTCCGGTACTTGAACCATATCTCGACGTCTCACGCACATGACGCTTCTTTGTTGTTGACCTTATTTTAATTTTTTTACAGAAAAATTATCATTATCATTATTCACAAAAGATTTGCTTATATTAATACGACAATTAAAAATAATTGAGTGAAATTTTACCTCCTCCGCAAGTCATGCTGCAGGGTCCAAAATCACTTTCCACCCACGTGTAATTGTCAGTCAACGAATGCGGAGAAATTCCTTTGGGAATGCTATACTCGTACATGACTCCAGGATTCGGTTCTTGATACAACAACTGCAGGGATGTAAAAAAGGGTGAGTCAATAATTTTTTTTTTCCCGGTTTTTTTTTTATTTAAATTTTCTTCCACTTACTGATATGTAAATAGGTTCGGTAGTAGGTCCTAAAGCCATCAAAGATTCGGGAGCGTAAAAAACGTGAGGTTTTCTTTCGTAATGAAAAATAGTACCGGCAAATCTTAATTTTCTCGGAAAATCAATTCTCCAGTTGCCATTTAAATAATAATGACCCGTAACGTTCCGTACAGCTGGAAATATGGAATCGGCATTAATTTCAAAGCGATAATAATAATAGTCTTTTTGTATTTGATTAGCGATTAATTGGAAAACGGATAAAAACATTAAAAAATTTTTATGTTTCTTTAAGGGGTTAAGCAAAACAAACATAATTATGTTTCGTTTTTGAATACAAAACAAACAAAAAAAAAAATCGATTAACGTAGTAAACAAACAATCAACGACAAAAACAACAACAACAATCAATTAATTAAATGAATTGTGGAAACAAATTCGTATGAAATGCAATTTTTTTTTTTTTTTAAATTTGATTTTCAAGCAGAAATAATAGAGAGAAAGAGAAAGAGAGAGAGAGTGAGAGTGAGAGAGAGAGTTGAACGATATTACGTGTCAGTAGATACTCAAATTTCATACATTTTTATATACATTCATTTTCAGTTGTTAGTTTGACTAACTATTTTTAATCTCGAAATTTTTTTTTTTTTTTTTTTTTTTTTTGTTATCGTATTCGACTGACTAACCCAACCCACAACTTAAATAACAACACAAACCTAAGTACCTAAGTAGTTGTTCGTCGGTTGTATTTCTTTCACTTTAATGTTTGTCGCTCCGGCAGGTATCAGCAAAATATCGTTGTATCCTAAAAATAAATTTTTTTTTGTTTTTTTTCCGTTAGACATTTTTCTTTTTTTTTTTTTAAAAAAATAATTTTTATGTGTCGTCTAATGAAACAAACGAAAATCTCACCGACTTGTAGTTCGTTATTATCTAAAACTCCTTCTACCGTGTTACAACTGCTACCATCTCCTCCGCATTCTCTACATTTATCTTCTCTTGCTGAAGAACCCAATAGTTTATCACATCCCACGGGCTGTAATAATAACATTTACATAATTTCATCATTATCATTATCATCGAACGCGAAAAGAAAAAAAAGAGAAAAAGTCGTAAAAATGAATAAATCCTTACCAGACATCGTCCATCAACGCAGACATCGAGTTTCTCATCGTCGCACGGCGTACCATCTTTAACTTTTTTATTATGTCGGTAATAAAATCTTTCTCCGACTGGCATGCAATTTAATTCGCACAGATTAGGAGCTTTCGTGTAGGGGATCCAACTAATAATAATAATAATAAGTTATTTTTAAAAAAAAAAACTAATTTAGTTAAATAAATAAATAAATAAACATGGCTTGTTGTTTGTTGTTGTCGTCGTTCTCGTCCAATAATCAAATTGCAATATGGAATATGCGTTTTTAAAAAGGGTAAATAACACGAAGAAACGTACAAACGACAACATGTGTTGTTGTTGTTGTTTTCTATATTTATTTATTATATAAACTAAATCCCAACGACAATAATAATAATAATAATGATATTCTGGAATATTTCTGTAAAAAAAAAAAAAAAAAATGAGGAAAGGATATTTCACAAGATGAGAGATTGCGGGTTCTGTGGCATTGGCATAATTTCAAATTATAAGATAATGTTTTGTTATGTTTTCCATGACGAAAAGATTAAAATGTGATTATTTTTCCAGATATCTCTCGTCGGTTTTCCAGCGGAAATCTCATAGTGACGACTGGAGTTAATTTATGGGAAGCAACCACAAATCTTTTTCTCTAATGGGAATCGAATAATTTGTTTACGCGGACAAAAAGGTTTAAGGTATTTAAAAAAAAAAATTTTTTTCTTCTTAATCTTTCATCTCTTTAGTATAATAATAATAATAATAATAATGATGATGATGATGAAACCTGAGTGTTTTCGACTTGGGAGGTACAAAGCGCGTTCTCCGATCGAACGATATTATTACAATTTTGATTTTAAATTTAAAAAAAAAAAAATATTATAAAAAAGGGTATCCCCCTAAATTGTTTTCTTTTTTAATATTTACTTAATGCTTGAGGAATTAAAAAAAAAAAAAAAAAAGGTCTCGAGTGGATAAAACGACAGAAATATTAATAATAATGATGATGATGATGATGATGACGCGTTCGGTGTTAAAATTTTTTCGTAGTTAAAGGCAATTTTTTTGGTGGAGGGCATTGCGTACCTTAATTAGGTTTCGTTATAAAATGAAAATTGTCACGCGGATCGTGAAAAAATAAAACTTACTAACTAGCGTGCGTTATTTTGATGAAGAAGAAAGAAAAAAAAAAATTTAATTGCGTCACGTGCATCAATTATCGCCATTTTGATAATAAAATCCACGTGTCAGACATACATTATCGAAAAATTATTTAAAAAAAAAAAAATTAACGACCGTCGATGATGCACTTTGCAACGGAAAGAATTTAAAAAAAAAAAAACGGGGGGGGGAGTGTTTGTGGATGTTTGCATACAAACGGTTTTTTTTGTTTCCATTGGCCGTAAACTTTTGAACGCGCCTAAAAAAAAAAAAAAAAATTCGTTAAATTCGTGACACTTACTTGTAATAGGTATCTTCGAAAGGTACTCTGTTATATTCCGCACATTGATCAGACCTGAAATCTGAATAATCGGGACAATCCTGTAATAAATTTAAAAAATTAATGATGAACGATGAGGGACCGTGGAGGAGAAGGGAGAGGGAGAAGAATGAAAGGAAGTCCGAGGGGGGAGAGGAACATTTTTTTTTTTTATTACAACGTCAACATCAAAAAAAAGTAAAAAAAAAATTTGTAAAACCTGGGAAATACCCGTTGGCCACCATTTTTTTTTTTTTATTACCTTTAACATCGATTACCGTCACTTAATTACATCATACACGTGTCACGTTTTATTACTGACTTTAATTGTAAAAAAAAAAATTATACAGTTTATAAATCGCGCTACTACTTTTTACAAAAATTGAAATATATTCGTAACAGTTTTTCACGGTAAAAAAAAATTTTATCGAACGTGTCATTAGCGCGTAAAACAAAAAAAAAAAATTTAATATTTCTCACGGGGAGAAAGAGAGAGAGAGAGAGAGAGAGAGAGAGAGAGAGAGAGAGAGAGAGAGAGAGAGAGAGAGAGAGAGAGAGAGAGAGATGAGGGAGAAATGGGATTCATGAATGAAAACGTCATTTTCATTTTTGACTTTTCGTATCGAAACGACGTGGAACGAGATCGCGTAAAACGCATTTAATTTGACGATTTTGTTTTTCGGGTGTTTATAACATTGATCGCCTACGACCACGAATAAACAAAAAAAAAAAAAAAAAAATGAAAATAAATATTTAAAAATTTTTTTCTCTTTGATGTCGACGTTGTTATAAGTTTTACACGGTCAAAAGAAATTAAAAAAAAAAAAAAAAAAAAAAAAAAAAGAAAAAAGAAAACAGACCTGAACGTTACAGGAAAAATATCTTTTAGTACCTCCGGGGCAGTATGGTCGACCATCTGGACTGTTAATGAAAAAAAAAAAAAAAATATTATGCAATATTTATATATATATAAAAAAAAAAAAAATGAAAGTGAAAATGAAAACACGTGGAAGTTAATGAAAAAAAAAAAAATTAATTTAAAAAGTTTGACCTTTGTTTATAGTATTGAGCAGAAGTCAGAATAGTTTTTGTCTAACGTCACGTTTTACGTTATTCGTACGAGTATATACATATATACTAATTACACGAAAAACAAATTTGGTTTAACTCGCGGTTTTTTAAACAAATGATGATTTTATGTAAAAAGGTTACGTACCTTATTTCCAAACAACGTCTCGTTTGATGCGATATCCCTCCGCCGCAAGTTCTAGAACATTCTGACGGTGCTGACCACCGACTCCAATTTCCATATTCCTGACCTCCTGGACCATCGATCATGATAAAACTGTCGGGTTCGAAATCGGACGGATGATCGTATTGCCTTTTGTGTCGACTGTGTGCATGTCTCACCGGATGCTAAATTATTATCATTATCATTATCATTATTATCATTATTATTATTATTATTATGAAAGAGTAAAAAAATAATTAATCGACATTTTTTTTAAAAATATTTTCGGATAATAAATAATTTTTTTTTTTTTTAATGGGGCCCCAAATTGAAATTTACCGGTTCGAAAGAACAACGCCTTATTTAAATTTTTAATATTAAAATATTATTTTAATGACGTCATCGCCCCCCCCCATTTTTTTTTAATTATTTTTTTTTTTTTAAACGTTTCTCAGGGCGGCGCGGTATTAATTAATTTAAATTTTTTCCAAAAAAAATTTTTTTTTTCGTTTATCCCGTTCGCGTTCTGATTAAAAACAAGCAGACGACAATTTTTCATATTATTATTATTATTATTATTAACAGGATATATATTTTTAAAAGTTGATCGATTTATCACTGCAATTAAATTAAAATGATAATGCACGTTATTATTATTATTATTTAAATTTGTTCGTTTTATTTTCGAGTGTGGTCGTTGAATGCGGAAAATACGTAAAAATATTGACGATCACGTCGCGCGTCGTGACATTTGCACATTTTAAATTTATGATCGTCAAAACAAATAGAAAAAAAAAAAATAATTTTTTTTTTTTGACGAAAATCTTAGGCCGCCATTATTTACAGTCGAAAATGTTTTTTTTTTTTTTTTATTTCGTTTCCGCCGTTTGTTGTTGACAGTTTTACGAAGTGACAAGCAGTTTTCTTTTTTAAATTATTATTATTATTATTATTGTTGGTAGTAGTGCTACTACAAACCATAATGATAATTATTTTTAATTGTTGCTTTTATATTTTTTACATACCATATTATTATTAATAATTGATAACGTAATATTTTTAAAAGCCATCAATTCACGTTAACGTGAAAATTTAAGCCCCCCACCCCCACCCCCACCCCCCTATTATTTGAGCGCGTGACGTTTAATAAAAGAAATTACATATTCGAAAGCGAAATGTAATTATTATTAATTATTTAATTGTTTATAATTAACGAATGAATTTTTTATGTAATAAGAACAACAACAAACGGTACCGTTATGATATCTCTAAGATTTTATTATTATTATTATTATTATTATTATTATTTTCCCGCCATAATTTTTTTTTTTTAAAGGTAAAAGTTAGGTATTATTATTAGCACGTCAATGCCAGAATTTAAAAAATTTTTTATTTTAAGTCACGGTTCGTGCCACGAGTTTTGAACTTTTGTTTTTTTTTTTTTTTTTTTTTTTTTTTTTTTTGATTTATGCACTTTTTATTTATTTTGTTTGTAATGGCGGGAAAAAAACGATGATTCGGGATTCGGGATTCGGGATGGGATTCTAAAAAAAAAAAAAAATCCCTGCGGTTTTATGTTAAAATTATTTTTGACTGATTGTTTACATACCTGTTTGGCTAGACAAGTACTCAGGCAGGTCGATAATATGAAAATCAATACTGCCAACGACCTGAAAAATAAATAAACAAATAAATTTAACTAAAAAAAAAATTTAGTTTATTGAACTTTTCGAATCCGGAGATATTTTATTACAAATGGCGGGCGCGCAAAAAATGAAATTTGATTTATTTATTTATATATAAAAAAAGTTATCTGATGAACAACGGGAATTTTGGTTATTATTATTATTATTTTCCCGCCAAAAATTAAATAATCCAAACGTCGTGCACGTTTTTTTTCCTCCTCTTCTTCTTCTTCCTCCTCCTCTTCTTGACCGCGACGTAATAAATAATAATAATAATAATAATAATTATACGTTACCGTAATTCATTTAATTAAAATTTTTTGTCTTTTAATTGGTCTTGTAATAATTTATGCGATTTATTGTCGTGGCATTAGATCAATAAAACGGTTTAACATTGTTTTTCATTCTATACTCCTACGCACGATAAAAAAAAAAAAAAAAAAAAAAATTTTTTTATTTTGTTGAAAAAAAAATATATATATATATACACGAGGTTGTGACCCTTAAACTTGTAGAACTAAGTAGCCACGATGGTCTGCTTGATTAAAATGATGATAATAATAATGATGATGATAATAATGATGATTATGACGAAGACTGTAATGCCTTAAAGTTAATTTTTTTTTTTTTTTAATTGTTATTTTTAATTTAGTTTCATTAATACGCCCATCATTGATAGGAGATTTCGAATGAATACACGGACCTAACATCACCGTTTCATAAATTTTTTCATTATTATTATTATTATTATTATTATTATTAAAACTAATATTAGTGACAGGTAAATGCGGCGGTTTAAAATAAAAGAAATGATAATGATGATGATGATCGTATCGTGTAATGTTGAACGTGAAAGTTTTTAATTTGTTGTTTAGCTTTTTGAACTGTATTAATGTTTTTTTTTCAGCAGAAGAAAATTTAAAAAAAAAATTAGTAAATAAAATTACGTCACAAATCATACATTGATAATAAATGATAACAATCGAGTTAAGTAATAATAATAATAATAAAAGTAAGTTTTTTTTTTTTTATTCGGTTTGTTTCAATGGCAATGCCACATTGCAAAATAAAAGGTGTTAATTTTTTTTTTTAGTTCCACGTGGAAATCATCATCAAAATTTTTTATGTACGTGCACGAAGTATAATTTAAAAAAATTCTTTCACAATTATCATTCATTCTTCTCTTTTTTTTTTTTTTTTTATAAACAATCATCATCGTGATTTTTAGTTTTTTGTTTGTTTGTTTGTTTGTTTCTTGTATCGCAATTTCATCCAGAAGATTTTTTTTTTTTTTACTGTCGAGGGTTGTGATGACGTTTCAAATAATGATTTGTTATTTCCTTTCAGGAATACAAAAAAAATTACCGGAGCCAAATTTCTCCCTTACGTCGTTTGTCGTTACGACAAACTCAACAAACGTCACCACGTGTAAAAGTTTTTCCAGTCATAACGAATCATACAAACGAATATGGATTATTTTAAATTTAACGACGATCCATTGAAATCATTACGTAAGTTTTATTCGTTTTATTATTATTATTTAAACCATTAAAACATAATGATAATGATAATATTTACAAAATGGTATATTAATAAGCGAAGAAATGATTATCATTATCAATTGGAAAATTATTATTGTTTTTTAACATTAATGGATTGAATTGATACATTTTTAATAACTCGAATGAGAAAATATATTTGTAAATATACCTGAGTGCGGTTTTACAAATGCTCTTTGGTGGTGGTCTTATTCATTCTTCAGACAGGTACGTACTTTAAGGTTCAAAATATATTTTTCTTTATTAAGGTAAGCTCAAGTTGGTAAACGTGTTTTTCAAAAAAAAAAAAAAAACCCTTTTATGATATTTGGTCATCTTCTTATGAACGCCCCAAGATCTATAAAATTGTTTTCTTATCGGTCGAGAATAATCAAAATTACGTTAATTGGAAAATTTTGATGAAAAATTGTCAAACGTCGCGTTTCCGATTGATTCAATAATAAACTTTGACTCCCCCTCCTCCTCTTCCCCCCCCCCGAAAAAAAAATAAACAATCCAATAGTTGTTATTTAGGCATATAGTATATATATATATATTTTTTTTTATCTAACATAAATTCATAACATTAAAACGGGTTTCCTGTTCGCCAACGTATTTCCGTATCCTGTCGGTTTAATATGATAGTATCCCCCTGAATGAAACAAACTATGAATTAAATAATAATAATAATAATAATAATAAATTCGGTTGATAATTTCGTTGGCAGGTTTGTTTGTTTGTTTGTTTTCGTTTTCTTTGTTTTTAGCGGGTTGTAAATAATAATAATAAGGTCATGAGTTAAAATCAAACCACCGTGGCAGTAGAAAATGGTATCGAGGTATATATGAATGAATACTCGATGCCGATATTTAAATTGGTTTACCGCAAAAAATAAATAATAATAATAATAAAATTTCATCCAATATTGTTTTCATAACTTTTTTATGTAATTCGATTATCGAGTATTAAATGTCTTCAGGTTTATTCGTGAAGAAAAATGGGAAAAGAGAAAAAGAAGAAAAACGTAATATCGAGAACGGTTAAAAAAAAAGCACTTAAAGGCGTTTGAATGAATGGTGATAAAACGATTAGTCTTTACTCTGTGACAAGATATAGACATACACACACACACCACCTGATTTAGTCTAAGATTACATGAAAAACTAATTGAGACGAAAGAAGAAGAAGAAGAAGAACAAAAGGAAATATGTGATGAGGTGGTGGTGGTGATGATGGTGATGGTTAACTCAATTTTCAGGTATATACGATACCTTTTTTTCCTCTTTTTTAAAGCCCCCCCTCCTCCCCGTTTTTTATTGGTCAGAAAGTAAATTGTCTTATTGCATATGTATTAAAAAAAAAAAAAGAGAGCAACGAGACGACCCGCCGCGCGGTCTTTGTTTCAAAATTTTAAAATAATTAAAATTAAGAAAGAGAGAGAGAGAGAGTGAGAGAGTAGAAAATGTAAAAGGTAAAAGGACAAAATGTTTCACACATTTCAGGTAAAAAATGTATGTATGAGCGCGGATTGTTGGTGAGTGGTCAACACAATTTGTTCTTTTAAACTAAAAATAGTTTGTTTCCCTTTTTTTTTTTTTTGTCTACTTCCACTTTAATTTAATAAAATGCACGATTTTCTCACTTAAAACTATTCAAATTTTTGTTTAAAAAAAAACAGTGAAAAGATTTTTTTCATAAAGAAAGAAAGAGAGAGAGAGAGAGAGAGAGAGAGAGAGAGAGAGAGAGGTACCATCCATCTACCCATTGGTATATCTTGCAAGGTCATCATGAAAGGGTCTCATTATTATCATTATCATTATTATTATTATTTTCTCCTTTTTTTGTGTGTGTGTGTGAATATGAGCCAGTTGATGAAATAGCTTG